GCGACTTTTTGAAGAAAAAAGAATGGTTAATTTCAGATCGGTTTGGTCTATTGCTGTTACTTATTGCTCACGTGTCTGACAGTAACATCGGCCCAAGCCCACGACTCCTCGTGGCAAGCAGCGTAAGTTACGCCTGTCGTTGCCAACAGTCTTGAGCACCTTACAGGTGGACAGTGCGATTTAGCTCAGTTCCGCCCCTGATTTTGATGGAGATCAACCCGGGAGGGGCGGACCGAAGGTCTCCCACCTTCCTCCCCTTCCATCAAACACGAGAGGGCTTTCGGCTCGCCGCATATTTACAGTGCCAACATGCCGCACCGACACTATACATTTACAAGCATCCATGCCTTCTTCGGGATTCAAACCCGGGGCCTTCGGCACGGCAGTAACCAATATATCGGTTGGGCGGCTCTGTTTGTTTTGGTTTATATGTACTATCAAAATTCGGGCAAAGCACAGTAGGACTACCTGCCTAAGGGGGGAATGCCTTCCTGGAAGGCTTTTTAAGGGAAAGTGACTTGTATACAGGTTACAGATGGGGAAAACCATGAAAACACTCAATGCAGCTACCTCGTTCGCCTGGATTCGAACCCAGGACGGAACTGGTAGTGTGCAGCGATTAAGTTATCTGAATATCAAAGCACACACGGACTACCTGCCAAAGGGAAGGGCTACTTTCGCGTAGGAATTTCTGAGAGAAACTGGCTCGTATTCATGTTGAACAACGAAAACAAACCATTCAGCCCGTTCTTCTGAGTTCGAGCGCAGGGTACAGGTAAAAGTGGGCGGGACACCAAGAATTCACGACTGGTCGTGTAAGTATAGTCTCGCCGTACTAAATGTGCCATTCCACCGCAATTTTGAGAAAGAACACCTTCTCGAGAGGACTTTCAGCTCACCGTGTATTTTGACTGCCTGTTGCCACACAGCCACTACAAGCTTGGAAACATCCACACCTTCTACAGGATTCGAAATCGGACCCATCGGTACTGCAAACTGGAGTCACTAACCACTATACCAGCTGGGCCGGAAGGTTTGCAAGAGCAGAAAAAGTCATCTCTGCTGAACACCAACCAGTATACCACTTAAAATATCAAAGGCGGGTTCGAACACAAGTCAAGCGTCAGGTCTCCATCAAGTAGGCAGTTGTACCATCATATAACAAATAGACTTTAAGCAAAAAGCCCACCCGATGAAACCGTCTACCACTGCCAACGCCCAACCAAAGAGTAGGTCCAGCAGATCAGCGATATTTATTTAAGAATCTCAGATATTAGTTGCATTCTTCTAAGTATCCGACCAGATGACAGACTAATCTTGATCTGGGTTCCGGACGTGCTTGCGAAATCTGCAGCCAATGACTCCAGTAGACTGGTAAACGCAGTAAGTGTTTCGCAGTCCTATTTAAAAAAAAAATCACGCTCAATAGCCTTTTACAAGAATGGCAGAAAAGATGGGAAAGGGAAAGCACAGGGAGGAAAACCTACAAGTTCTTTCCGAAAGTTACATGCTCAATTAATACATACAGCGGAGCACAAACTCAATTTTACACTGGCCGTGGTCCCTTCCCACATTATCTTTAAGAGATTTGGCAAACGAGCATCAGAATTGTGTGAATGTGGTGCAGTAAGTGATGCAGATCACTTCCTCTTCCAACTGCTCACAAACCGATAAACTGCATTTAAAAATGCCAAGCAGTGAATATTGGCCGCAATGGGCGGAGAATACCTGCGGTAACAAGCAGACGAAAACTAAAATAGAGGAGGTAATCAGGCTATGCTCAGTAAGGTACTCAGAAATTCTCCCCCTCTCTTGAGAATTGTATCTTCGCAGCATAATTTTAATACCAATTCAAAATACTACAACAACTGAAAATCAACACTAGAAAATAGCTCACCCCGTTAGAATAATAACAGGACTGAAGAGCAAACATATTGTTAATGTAAGCATATTACTAGCCAGTTTGTATGTACTTGATAAAAATAATATTGATTGGGCAGTTTAAATGATATTGAAAATCCAGTCAATGTGTAAATGAATTACAAGTTTACTTTGATTATCTCAGTACAAGAATTGTAAATATGAATTCAGATAATGTTTAAATGTATACATAATTGTCACGATTTTATGTAACAATCACATGCAACTTGTACAAGACAATGTTTGTAATTAACATATCTATGCTTATACACAGGACTTGTATGCCCACGTGATATTTATATTTATATTTTTACACGGAGGAAATATTCCCTTCTGCCAGGATGACTATTAACACTAAATCTTTTACGACAAAGTCAGGTCAGTGGTTATCTCAGGCGGCGCTCAGATATTAGTTGCATGTACCGTTAATTATACAAATACAAAAATCTTTGAGAATTTCAGAATAAAAATCAATTGCTAGATTATAAAGAGTAATTATATAATCTGGCAGACATAATTTTGCTGTTGCATCAATATAATATGCAAGAAACATATCCCAATTTTTCAATCATGAAAAGTTTTTGTTAATCCTAGATGAAGCTCGAAGTCCTTGAAGCTCGAATATAGGACGAACTACCAGTATTCAGTGGTCTTACAAACTCAGCCACTGGCGAAGCTTCCACAATTCCACATAAAAAGAAAATAGAAACGACTGAGAACAGTTACGTATTTTCTTTAAATCAGGTGTATACTTTCTGTAACCCGTACTTATTGAATAGTAAGGTGTCTTGGATTGATGCCTTAGTGAACGGCATACAAGAAAAGCTGATATTTATTTTAAATAACGAAGCCAAAAACCATAAGAAACATCAAGCAGCCAGCCATTCAGTCTTTGAGAGTTGAACTCGGGGGGGGGGGAGGATTATTCCCACTTACCCACTCTCCGTCCATACTTTCGTTATACAGACCGTCGTTTATAGTTTATCAATCGACAGATAACTCAAATGCAGACAGTGCTTTATATAACTTACGCTACAAATAAATAAAGAGGTTTTCCAAAATAACTATTTCCGGAAGAAATACTGCGATTTTGAAATTTACGAGTAATTTTAATTTTACGCAAATTTTTCAATTAAAAAGAAAAGTTTCATGAGAAAACATCGACTACAAAACTTAAGAGAAATTTTCATTGGGTATATCACATTTATTTATAAGAGTAGAAGATATAATATTAGTTGGATGATAAACCATAAAGCGAAAGTGCCTGAACTGTACACTCGGAAAACCTAATTTATCAATATAAATTCTCATTAAACTGCATAAATATTGAATTACAATAAATAGTGGAACACTTAGGGCATCTGAAATATATACATTAGAAAATACACATTAATTCGTCTACTATCATACACTGCATAAAGATAGTTGATGAAGGAATGTATGTTCATCATAATCATTCATTAATTATTATGTAATGTAACACGTAAAATAGACTATATATAAATTTTAGAACAAAAAAAATTCAGACAATACATGAAGTACTTTGACAAGGAATAATTTAAAATTTAAATATACAAGTTTTTACGTTATCGATAAAGCATTTAAGAAAGCAAGATAAATAACTTCTTAAAAATATACTAATACTAAAAATTCTCTCAGGAAAAGACGCAAAATGCAAGGAAATTCTTATATTTTGAAATAATTATCGCCACAGACATTTAGAAACGTATTAGAAACATTCTCTCAGATTGAAATTGAAATATTCTGTAATACCCTGAAATCTTTTTTGATTAACAAAACAAATACTTTTGGGAAAACAACTGCATTACAAATAAAAAATCATATTATGTGTTTTAAGACCTTAAAAATATGAACACTGGTATTGTTAAAAATTATTTTTAATATAGGTTTTACAGTAAAATACGTATTTAAGGGCGTTTAAGTAATCAACCAAGCGTATTTTAAATATCGCTCTTTCATAGTTGTGCTTAATTATTTATTTTATCCATGAAAACAAAAGAACGTAATGCAAGTTCATTCATTTAGCTTACATATTAATTTACTCACTCATTTACTATACATATTTTCTAACTTGAATACTAACGACGAAAAATAATTTTTTAATATTTAATGTGAAAAAAAAAACATTCCATTATATAAAGTACTCATTTTAGTAATATAAATAAATGATATGTATGGGCATAAAATATTGCTTCTATGAAAACCAAATACAATTCTTTTATGGAATCTTTTAGAAATTTTCGTTATACAAGTGTATAGTTTTCTGAAAATACATTTTCCAAACAAAGTGTACACTTGTATTTATACTTCAACGAAAATACTGATGCTGTATTGCCTTTACCTTAATATATTTACCTATTTTAGAATCCTATTCGTTCTTTCCTTACGACTACGAGCCATTTTTAAATATTAAATAAAATATAACGAAGCAAGCAAAGAATGAAATCAAACGACTTTTTAAATGTCATCGAAAGCTGAAAAATAAAAAAAAAAAATTGCAGACGATAATTTTATGTATGACATTTTACAAAAATGTTTCGGTGTATGATTGCTTTTGTGGAGCGTTATATCTATGCCTCCTTACATTTTAAATTTTAGAGAAAGAAAATACGTCAGTATTTAAAAAAAGTTAGGTTTTATTCGAAATCGCATGGAGATGATATGAAAAAAAAAAATGTTGGGATTTATATTCGAATTCAATTCCTGGCTACAACGTTTTTATACAAATTCTTAAAGTGTAGGAACACTTTTGGAAGCCGCTGTATGGTATTAAGAATCACGACAATACACAGTTCATGTTTTTTACTTCACGTATTGAAATAAAATACCGCCTGTGTTAATATACGTAAAATCTGCCTAGGAATAATGTCCCTTTCCTACAAATCTGTCTTGCATTAAGTATTTGTGCTTTGTTTATACTCCAGTTGAAGAGAGAAAAAAAATTCTAAACACAGAACACGTGCGTCTGGCACGCGATTCATTCTTAAGCCGCCAAAAAGGGGTTCGCAGAAATATTCCGTAGAAAAATACTGGTTGAAAAGAAATTTTGGAAGACTTACCTCGACTCCATCCTTAGCGGCAGCATCGCTCAAAGTGGAATGAGAATAGGACGGGTCAAGCGAAAGGAGAGGACCCCACGTAAAACTTTTCCTTCCCTACTTGGACCAAGGTCACGAACTGAAAAGATGTCTTTTTACCTACCGGCTCGTCTTCGGATTGGCGACTTTGTACTGGACGCCAATTCGCCAATGTTTGGCGCCGCGGAGCAAGTTTCGATATCACGCGTATCTTTTTTTCTTGTTTATTTCTTATGAGACGTTTTAAATAGCTCTTTAATTGCTTGTAGTAGCCTTACTTAGCACACTTTTTTGGTGTCATCTTATATGTTAATACACTAAGTTCTTAACGGTTCCTTAGATAAATCCCGATAACGCCCTCCATAAGCTTCTTTTCTTGGAGTACGATGCATCACGGGGTAGCAGTTCGAACGTTCTAAACTAAATATTGAACTAAATATGCTTAAAAAGCCAAACGATTATGTAAGGAACGTAAAAAATAGCATGCGAAATATCTTTCATTACTTATTAAAGTTCCAAATATTCATAAAAGATACCAATAGAATGACATGTTATAAATTAAAGGTACTTTATTTTCCACATCAGTCAGATATTTTATTAAATGAATAACATAAAAATGTATTTTTTTATAATAAAGAAACACGAATATTAATTTTAAAGTGCTCAGTTTATTAAGGAATCACACATTGATTTAATTCGTAGCGTAGCAATGACATCAACATCTTAATTTATATAATTCAGAAAGGCGAAGATGAAAACAAAGTGTGCGGCACGGATGTGTAGCTGCAGCTGGAAGTGTTCAAAAAATAATAATTACATACTTTTTTATTTTATAAAAAGAAACACTCGAAAGAAAAAAAACTTCAGTAATACATTTTATTTTAAATTTTTTGTTTCTTGTTTGTTATTATTATCCCCTCCTCCATCCTGAACAAACGATTGCAACCTCCACACCGGCTGAGGATAAAAAAATATTACAAAATGGAATAAACGATAGCTTTACACTCAGCTGATCAATAGTTACGTTTACAATTTATAATGCAATAACCCGCATGGCCCATCAGTGGCCGAGCGGTAAAGTAGCTGAACACTGGTAGTTCGGTCCGAGGCTCAAATCCCGCGAACGGCTGGCTGCATAGGCGTTTTCATTGTTTTCACCATGTGTAACATGTATACGAAGCAGCTTCTCTTAATAAGTGCTCCACGAAAGCATCCTTCCCTTTAGGCACATAGCCCTTGAGTGCTTTGCCATAATCAAATAAGCCAAACCAAACCAAGCCTTGTATAGCTAGCCTCGCTTTTACAGGAAGACTGCTACAATATTAACAGCAGGCTTTTAATTTCAGTATTATATCATTACAGTATTTACAACTGCAAAATTTGTTCAAAATGGTCTTATTACGACACAAATTCATTCAGTGCCAATGGCATTTTAATAATGTAAGTTCGATAGCAAGATGATTGATCTAATGACAAGCGAGATGGATTCTTTGCTGCGTATGCTGTAAACCCGAATCTTCTTTACGAAGATAAAAACGTTAAGTGACTCCATAGATCAAAGTCAATTAGTGCGATGTGTGGGCTTCGTGGAGGGCAACTTAATATCCGTTTGCCGATCTATCCATTGTCTTGGAAACCGACAACCAGTCCTTCAGATGGTTGATTTTATGAGGTATTTTATGTTAATTAGTCAATTACTATGATTTAAACTTTTATTATATCTTATCCTTTCCATAGTTCTCACCAGAATGCAAATTAATTGCTTACGTATTTAAGCTGAGGGTTTGAATGTTGAAGATTAGAGTCTCCAAACTCAGGAAATTATTTTAGATATTGAGGATGGGTGCAAGAAGTGGCAAATCTGTATAAATGCATTAAAGCCCCTATTTGTAAGGAGACGCAAGATCAGGCAAATAGTACTGAACAACCTTTACTTATTTAAGGATTTTTTGAACAGTGTAAATAGTTTAAGTTGTTGCCGTTGTTATCTTGTCCCTACATAGAACAATGGTAGCCAGAGCCTACTCCGAAGAGAGGCTGGACTTCTATTTTCCACCCCCAATTTTGAGGGAGAGTACCCCGGGTAAGATCCGCGGGTCTCCCACCAATCTACACAAGAGGACTTTTGGCTCGCCATATATTTAGATTGCCGCCGTGCCGCACCGACACTATGCATTTACAAATATCCATGTCTTATCCGGGATTCGAACCCGGCACTTTCGGCACCATAGTAGGCTCCCCTAATACCCCTTCTGGCCAAATTGATTCCAGAAGTAACAGAGTTGCCCAGCGGAAACTGAAAACGATAATTGACTACTGCAATTACTCTTCAATTATTGACTACTTCTTCTAGTAGCAATTACTCTTCTGACGCTGTAAGATAGTAGCCACAAAGTACAAACTTGAGTCGTATCTAACACACATTAAGTTCTAACAACGCCATTTCTAAGCACAGTTCTGTTAGAAATAGACATCGCACCTTCAGTATGGCAATTTTTTAAATATAACGCTGATTTTTGTTGTTTGACTTCTGAATTAGTATTTATTCGGCGTGTTATTGTGTCTTAATTATATAAGCTAGTTCAATATGTCAGCAACACAGCATGTGATATGTATGTTCAATATGTAATTTTGTATTTATGCTGTGCCAGGTTTTCATAAACAAAGTTTGTACTGTTTATATCTGTACATGTTTATATCTTTTATTATGGTACCTAATTTATACTAAGGATCACGCGTACCTCATTGGCATGCTTCATGTAAACTTTAACTATTATGATAACGTATATGTATAGATGCATATATGAATATGAGTGAGATTATGTATACTTTTATTTGTTTTTGAATATATATGTATGTAAGTGTAGATATACCTGTTTCTGAGTTAGTATTTATATGTATATACATATATTTTGATTGTACTCTTCTTCAAGTGCCTTGTATGCACATATATATGTCTTTTTTTGCATTTTATAAATGTCGTCTGCTCAGCCGGGGCTGCCCAGGGCTCTGGCCTGTCAGCTAGTTGTTAACTGTCGCTGAGTTGGTAACCAATTCTGCGTGGATATACCTATACTTGGGTCGGAAGTCGATTCAGCGGTTTACTTCCCTAATCCCTATACCGTCTGGGCGACGATCGTTTAAGTTATCTGGGGGGCATCATTAACCAAAGGCTGACATGGACTTATCATATTAAGCACTTTCTAGGAAAAGCCCGTGGTATCGCTTTCGGTACTTCTTGGAAATTACTCCGGACTGTCTCTCAAGATTCACCTATGCATTAGCAAGGCCAGTTCTATGCCACACATCTCCAGATTGGGCGTCAGTCTAAAATGTAGATTTACACAAACACCAGGTATAGAATCAGATTCTGAGCACATCTGAAATGCTCATTATCTGATTACAAAACAAACTGATCCATGATGACTTGAAAATCGACCCTACAGAAGAATGTTTCTTTAAAAGTGAGCTTATCTGCGATGCTGCAGATTTTTTCCGAAGTTCTTTGACACCAGTCACTCCAGAACATAATTTGATCAGACATGCTTAGAGACCGTAACTTCGCAACCTATCTTGGATTACTGGCGTTTACTTGTTTTCTTGCGCCGTGTGACTTTTATCTGTTGTCGCTTTCCATCAGATTGGCTCGTATGCAATAAAGAAGACAATGGTCTTCTCACCTTTACCTTATTTTCTTGACCATTCTCGGAGTTTCACCTGCTAGCTCAGCAAAGTCATGTCCACTCAAAGGCATAGTTGTCTTATCTAGCTTATCAAGGACTCCTTTGGGATAACATACACCACTTCATAATCTACATCCGTTTAAATTAGAGCTTCTGGCAGCCTTGTCTTGCTGTTACGTATAATCACCAGCTCTGCTTAGTTTATTCTCGCCTTCAGCATCTTGCTAGCCGAAGTTTAAAGGGCGCGTCGCAATTGTCTTCAGCCAGCTTCAGTAGATTATTTTGCGTTGCAGTCTAAGCTTACGTTACCTACACTTGAATTAACGGTATCTAATATTAATTTTAATTTCCGGGAGTAGCGGAGCTTGTGAAGCAGTGCGTTATGTTCATTTGAGACTTAAATAAAATGGTTATTTTAAACTTCTTTAAACCTAAGGATTTGTTTCAGTCTAAGCGATAACTAGTTTCCATTCTGTTAAGATCTGTAAGACATTAACGCAACTTACGTAACTTAAAGTCTAGATACAGCACAACCCTTCAATTTTAATTAAATAATTAATTAATTATGGAACACCTGTAACTATACACAATATATCTTCAGTATAATTTAACTGATATAATATATTAAAATGGTGACACTGGCTGCCGTACCGAAGGGCCTGGGTTCGAATCCCGGAGAAGGCATGGATGTAAATTGTCTGTCCCTTCATAGGAGGCAACCGTGACCCACCTGTTAGGCGCCTCTATAATAAAGAGACCACCGCTTATGGCCTCAATAGTGACCAACGCCTATAATGGTTAGAATGGGGAGAAAACTGCATATCGCCAAGCGAATTACTCTTGGCGCAAACCGAAAAGAGTACGCCAATATAAATTTTTGTATTTCCCGGTAAGTTTCTCACTAAATTTTACAAAATTGAATATTTGGGTTGCAGAAAGTTGAGTCATAGAAACTGAAATATGGAAACAAATCGGTATGTCATTTCAGAAAAAGTCCGAAACAATTGAATGAACTGAAATTCATTAAAATCGAAAACAAGTTTTTCTAAGACTTGCGCAATAGCTGCAAAGTAAGATAATAATAATTTATTTACGAAAGAAGTATTGATTATATTATCTCCTGATACAGTCAAAAGCCGTTAATCCGGACTCGTCAGGACTTCGGCGATTCCGGATTATCGATTTTTCCGGATTATAGATCATCAGTTTAAATCTCGTAAGATGGCATGCAGAAATTCTAAAATTAAAAATATGAAACCGTAATTTATGAAATAAAGAACAATTATGATCTAAAGGGTATCAAAATTTACAAAAAAAAAAAGCTTAATATTTATTTGTTTACTTTATTAAACATTTCTTTCAATGTAAGTTGTTTAAGTTGCTTCGTTTTTATGTGATAATACTTTCTCT